GAAAGAAATCGGATATGTATCATTCTATTGGATCCGTGCATTCGGTCTTAAATTGACAGCAACCTACAAATACTGGCTGTCATTCATGTTAAAGGAGTGGTATAATGCCCCTTTTTAAAATATGTAAAATAAGTCTCTGTTGTCCCCAGAGAGTGTATGTGAAGTTTTAGCTCAAAATACCCCACAGATAATTTTGTACAGCATGTTAAAGTTGTCCGTTTTTGAGGGTCAGTAAAAACGTGCCATTTCGTGCATGTCCCTTTGAATGCAAATTAACTGCTGCTCCAGACACAGAGGGCAGAGCTTCAAGAGCTCGTGTGTGTTAGCAGCTCCTAATTACCTCACACAGACAAGTACTAAAATGTCAGAAACTGTTCTGCCTTTTATGTTTAAACTGGAGTCGGACAATGATGGAGAGACTCAAGAAGAAGTGACAACATGTAGAATGCAACAGGAAGTTTCTGAATGGTTAGTTGATGAATTTATGTTGCTGAGGAGGAGTTAACTATCTTCAAGTCATTGATTAGCATATTCTGTCATGATAATCTATAAATCCCTCGTGTGGGAACTGTTCTAAGATGCCTACAGAGTGACATGCTATTGCATTTGTCTTACATACTGTATTGCATGTGAAAAGACGGATGCGACAGCTTGAGCAGACTCACAAATGTGCTCTACTACAACTCTTCCTCTTCTCAACATGGACTGCGTTCCCGGGGGCAGGGTTTATGTCAATTTTAGGGTTGATGTTGTCACTTACCTGGGAGGAATGTCGTGTAGTCCATACCAGCTGTTTGTTGTAGTCCTTAAAAAACAATTTCTTTAAAAGCAAATATCTCCCTTTGCTTTGAACTTTGAGCGTTGTAACCTTGCAGATGTTGTTTATGCTCAAACAGCAACATTACACACTAACTAAAGTTAGAAAAGGGAAATCATAATCAAGCACCAATTTAATCAAACAACAAAACACAGCTTTAACAAAGATCTATATTTAATTTATACAGTCAACACTATAGTTATTTTACATTTCGGCCTAATTGTTACATGTCTACCTGAATAAACTACAGTTAATTTTTTATTACTTTATTTGTAACTTGTATTTTTTTAATTCAGTATCATTAAAATGATTTAATTGAATTAAAACATTTAAATATTAACACACTTATACAAAAATAAGCTAATTTAAAATAATAAATAAATAATTTTTAAAAAGCATTTCGGTTTTAGGTGCATCCTTAATACAGACACTTAAAAGTCTATAAATTAAAAGAACATATAGCCAAATATGAGCCTTTACTGTTGTATAATATTGGGAATATTTTAGCAGATTCATGCTGCATTTAAATGTCCCTCCTGAAACTCTGCAGTGTATAGGCTATGTGGCAGTTGCTGCTGTTGGCAGCATGAAAAATAAAACTTTTATTCGAATTGCGAATAGATTATACACAGAAAGTGAGTAAAGAGCGCTCCCTTAATGACTTAAGCTGTCAATCACTTCAGTTGCAGCGAACAAACCCTGTGCTCAACGCTGCAAACCGCGTTCTAATTAGAAACCTTTGACGTTCATTAGACTACAGAGCGTGAAATACAAATAAGCACAAGACTGTTTGTAAGCAGCTGCTTATCAGTGGGTACTGAATTGAATCGAAATAGTCTTGGCTATTGGAACCGCAGCCCGCCCCTGCCTATTGATTCCCGACCCGCACCGCAAATGACCACGTAAATATTATTCCACCCGTTACATCAAATATTAGCAGTTCATCCGTCAGGTACCTGCGGGTACCCGTCTGCGTGCAGGACTATGCCTAGAGCTACATCAGTATTTCTGGATTCTAAACCTTGAACCACCTTCAAATCACAGCGGCAGAGATAATGCCGCCCATGGTGCAGTGCAGGATGTAAACTAATGATCTAGCCATGTGCTCTGCTCTGCTCTTGTCTTGTGTGTAGTGACCTTTACAGCAGCACATGTGTGAATTAATCACTTCCATCCTTCTGTTGGTGCTTTGAAATTATGGTATATTTCCATTGTTTAGGTCCCAGTAAAACAGTTACCCATTAAGCTCTATAGAGATGTCCAGTGGGTCTGCAGTGTAATCTAGAGGCCGGCAGACAATACATTCAGTTCTGCAGGGAGCTTTGTTAATAAAAGTGTGGGGTTGATGGGTAAATGGGGAATTCATTTAACACTGGTGTGCTCCCCTCTCATCAGGCAGAAGAAAATAAGGTCTGTCTGCTAATCAGCTGCTGTCCTGACTGTGCTGGTTATTAGCATTCTATTACCATAATCACTAATCCTCAAAACCTGTAGTTCCATTTAAGTGTGGGCGGCTTTTTTGTTTGCAGGCATGATGAAGAACACTCCCTTCATTCTTCTACTACACACACATTTCTTATTAAAAACTATGACAAGAAGCCATACTTTTCGAATCAGGATTTAATCCACCCTAATTATCCATTAGAAAAGTTTTGGCAGACTACGTATAATCTCAAAATGCTGTTCATCAGTTGCTCCTCCAAATCAACAGCGGAAAATACTGAAAATAGAAAGAAAGAGAGAGAGAGAGAGAGAGAGAGAGAGAGAGAGAGAGAGAGAGAGAGAGAGAGAGAGAGAGAGAGAGAGAGAGAGAGAGAGAGAGAGAGAGAGAGAGAGAGAGAGACAGACAGACAGAGAAAGAGAAAAGCACTAGCTCTGGGCAGGTATGTTAGCTTGCTCTTCAATCACATGTTAGAGCATAATATAGCTTCTATTATATGAATGTGTCTTGAGTTATACTCATGTGCCTCATTTGCATAAATATAACTGGCAACTGACGATTATAAAACACATATGCATTTTCTAGTGCATAACGTAAGAAAGCCTCTATAAAGAAGACAAATGTATGTGTCTGTAAAAGTACAATACAGTTACTCAGAAACTATGAAAGAGTGGTACAATGCAAATATGGTTGCAGTACTAATTACACACCAACTAAGACAAAAGTGTTTACACAGCTGTACTTCTTTTTAATGGAATACGATCACTGGTATTTATGCAAATATGAATCTGTACACCATAATTTCCTAAAATTCAAATACACTGTTCTTTAAGTGCGACGTTAGAAAGATTATTTTTAAAAGAAATTAGAAACAAAAGTGACAGTACAGACTTTCGCATTTTTATAATTAATATAATATATATACCAAAAATAATAATATCATAGAAACATTTAAAAAAACAATTATAAAAAATAAAAATATATAAAAAATGTATATTTCAAATAAATGCCGTTCTTGTTAATTTTTTATTCATCAAATAATCCTGAAAAAAGTATCAAGGTTTCCACAAAAACAGCACTAAATAAGCATATTAAAGGGTTAGTTCACCCAAAAATGTAAATTATCCCATAATTGACTCACCATCAAGCCATCCCAGGTGTATAGGACTTTCTTCTTTCAGCCAAACACAATCAGAGTTATATAAAAAAAATATCCTGGCTCTTCCAAGCTTTATAATGGGAGCGGTGAATGGTGCTAGTTTTAACATCCAGTAACGGCCGTACGCAAGTCGAGTTCTGGCAGTAGAGTGACCTCTGACCGATGTATGACAAAAGATGTAGGAGTAGCGTAAGCTTAGGTGAGAGTAGACAACTCTTGCGGTCCAAACAAATAGGGCTGGGCAACAGACTCAAGCTTCTCTTATATCGAAATCCTTAAACATTTCTCTTTAAAAAATCTTGTTTTAGACTTCTAATTCGTGGTGTTTTATTTTGCTCTATCCTCTGGACTTCCGTGTTCATCAATACATCATGCGTCGGGTCAGAGGTCACTCTTCCGCTGGAACTCGACTTACGTACAGCCGTTACTTCTTACAAAAACACATCGCTTCGCTTCAAATGACCTTTATTACACTCCCTGGAGCCATATGGATTACTTATATGATGGATGGATGCGCTGTTTTGGGCTTCAAAAACAAAAACAAGGTACCATTCACTCCCATTATAAAGCTTGGAAGAGCTGGGATATGTTTTAATATAACTCTGATTGTTTTTGCCTGAAAGAAGAAAGTCATATACACCTAGGATGGCTTGAGGGTGAGTAAATTATGGGAACATTTTTGGGTTAACTATCTCTTTAAAATTATTTCTAAAGGATCATGTGACACTAAACACTGGAGTAATGACTGCTAAAGATTCAGCTTTGCCATCACGGGAATAAATTACATTTTAAAATATGTTCAAATATATATATTTTTAATGAGGGTAAAGTTATACTGAGTGTATCTTTAAAAATGTGTGACAAAAAGATTATGACTGTAAAATTGAGTAATTCTTCTAGTGGATGTCATAAGGTTATTCCTCTGTTACTCAAAACAGCAGCTGCACTGTGTGGTTACATTTGTGATGTACCTTACTGTAATATCTGGGAACACTGAACACACACCTGCCCTTTTGCTGGTCTATGTGGTATCCTACCTTACATCAGCTTGCACGGCTACAAGAACATTGCTGCTGTCAGGAAACATAGAAACCCATCCACAAATCAGCAAAACAATATCACGCAATTCATCACAAACATATGGCGAATAAAATCAGCCTACAGAGATGGAGCACTGTGGGACTCACCAAAACACTGTCTGAATAAGACACAAAAAAACACCCCCCTACTTTCTCGCTTTTACAGTATATTTTTTCACAAACATATCCTGTGAGGGTTTTGTTCAGAGTGGAGGCCCAGAGAAGAGAGAAAAAAGTGTCCAGTTTCACTTTCACTTAAAATAAATCTATCTTCTCTTAAAAGTCTCAGTCCACCCACCCGGAAATTCAGGCAGTAGGCGGTTGGCCAGAATGATGCAAGACACATAATCCAAAACAGATGAGAGGGGGTACTCCACATTTCCCAGACGTGGAGATCTCCTCAGAATTTCCTACAGCTGTGGCCAATAGGAGCTCAATAATAAAGTTAGCAGGCTACGCTAATGTGGGCTACGCTAGCCTGACGTGTGTGTGAGGACGACTCACCCAGCTTACAGCTGCCTGTGGAGGTGACGCTGGAGCAGGGGCAGGGGATGCAGGGGTCTGTGACGGGAAACCTGGGCCTTCTGTAGAAATTATACCTGCAGTTCTCACAACTGGGTCCTTCGGTGTTGCCTTGGCAGTTCACACAGATGCCTGAGAGAACAGGGGGAGGGAGAGAGGGTTGAGTAAACAGACCCACAGCTGTGACTGACAGGACTTTGGTCCAGTGAGGTGGACGAGAGGGGAACAGAGTTCAACGATGCTAAACAAGGTAGACATAACAAACCTGAAGTTCGAAGGGAAAAAAAGAAATGGAGAGATTGAGCAAACGTATTTCTAGGGAGCGTGCATGAAAACAAGGAAGGAACTTCCTTAGACCCTGCCAGAGCATGTGCAAATGTAACGACAAAATGCTAACAGGGGGTTGTGGAAACAAATAAATGCATTACAATTTGAATAAGATCTTTTTGTCTGTGCCAATAACATTCAAGTGAACTCTTTAGGTTGAGTGATTTGAACTGCTTTCATTATGTTGATTTGAAATGTTGAATTTACAAGTGAAAAACAGAACACTTCAACAAGTTATTGCATAATTCACAGAGGAAGTACGAGAAACAGAAACAGTGCATAAATAATCGCAGAAATCTCGAATTGCTGAAAAAGTGACCAAAACTGTTGTAAGTGATATGAGTCATGATTTCCTTCTCTGAGCATGAGAGAAAACGCAAATACACGGCACAGTAATGAATGAGTGGAATAAAACAGCAGAAGGAAGGACTGGTGAGAGGTGTTTTGGAGCTGGAACAGGATCTGGTTGTGTATTCACATGCTGATGAACACCTGTGCAACTGATGCCCAAATGTGATTTCTCTGCTGTACATCAGGCTTCTTGCATTTGCTGTTTTTTTAATCCTTCATTTATAACAAAGCACCACTTCTGGTCATAGTGCTATAAATAAAGATGAATGTCACTGTATTAGATAACAAAATATCAAACCAAAAATATAGCAGGAAAATATAACACTAATATGCAAAACATTTCACAAGGTCTTAATTTATAAAACAGAAGATGATGTGCTGTTCAAAATTAAAACAAAAAGCATTTGGACACTGTTATCTTCTTTTATGTTCCACAGAAGAAAAGAAGTCAAAATTTGGAAGAAAATGAGGGTCAGTAAATGATGACAGAATTTTCAGATTTTAGTGAACTGTCCCTTTTAAATGACACTTGTTGGTTGATTAGAAAAATTATTAAGATAAATGAAGAATGGCAATGCCTCTTGATCAGATTTTTTGTATTCTACTTCAAAGACATTTTTAATTGTGGCATCAATGTCCAAATACGTTTTGGGACCACTGCAGTGCTCAGTGAGCAATTATCTCAGACAGAGAAAGATTAATGACACAAATTAACCAAGAAACGGTCACAAATGATGAAAAATTGCATAGCACATGTGCAACCAGCATCACTAGTAATCAGCTGACTGTGAGTTTATTTACAGCTTTACAGACTCATCAGCACAAACATTTACGCTTTTTTGATCATCTGAATGATAAATGCTGCATTTGTGTCTGGAATGTAACTATCTGAATTAACTTTATAACATTTGATCCGACACACCAATATCACAGACAGTCATGCAACAATGTGATTTATTTCTCTTCAGGGTTGTTTGTCTTATCTTTCACTGGCTGTGCAGGCAAGGAAAAATTGTTTTTCACAAATACACTGCTTAACTACTGTAGATTTTTACATTTTCTGAAGAAAATGTGAGTGGTACTTCCGTTCAAAACTCATCAACACAATGCCTACAGCAAGTGTTTTTTGAATGGTTGCTAGGGCATTGCTAGGTGGTTGGTTGCTAGATGGTCACTTACTCTACTGGGAAAAATAGCATACTCCCAAGTTTCTTTTGTCCCAAGATGCAAGTCTATGGTATGGTATTTTTTTTCTTTTGTTAATTGCTCATCTGATTGAAATGTATTAGTACACCTCTTCAAGATTTGAAGTATCATTCCTGTCTGCAGCACAAACATGCCGTGCACCACTTCTTTACAATATAATCCCTGTCTTAATAATGTATTAAATTATTTAATTTATTTAATGAAATATGACCAGGCATGGAACATTATTTGGCATATGTATATTATTGTAATCTGTTTCTCACCAGAGGAAGACGTTCTCTCCCAGCTAACCCAGATATGGTTTTCCCCAAGGTTATTCTTCCTCTTCGGCTAAACATCTTATGGATTTTTTTACCCACCCCAAGGCATTTTTCTGTAAATCTACTTTCAAAGTATATGTTTTGTTAAAAGCATTGTACAAACATCTGACTGGACTTCAGCAAGCATCAATTATAAAAAGTATAAACATAAATACACTAAAACTAGCAGAGCTGAGTGATAAATAAATGTTGCATTAAAACAAGTCGTTAAATTTCTATAGTTTATAGTTCTTATACACAAAGTTACTTGAATTAATCTTAGAGTATTACAGGAGCTGCCTATCAAAACTGCCTTAAAAAACATAGGATAAAATTACAATAACATGAATCAATTGCTGACTTTAAGAGTCTGTCCATCAATTGACAAAGCAAGAGCATGAAAGGTCTTCAGGGATGAAAGCAGAACATTCTTTGAGTGCAAGACAAAGTGAACACTAGAGAGATCCAACTCATGGCCAAAAGCACAAAGATCAAAGAGGCTGTGTATGATTGTTTGAAAAGATGGGCTGCTGTCAGACCCACTCGACTATGCGTGTGTGTTTGTTTTTCCACTGGGTCTCCAGGGCTAGAAAGTATATATAGACCTAATATATGTGTAAAATAAATTAAACAGTGGCTATTATATGTATTTATTTCGTATTTTTTCTCAGGTAATGTTTCCTCTTTTCCACAGTATCCTACACACAAGAATGGGTCAACTAATCTTCAGAGATTATAAACAGTAACAGAAGTTTAGAAGGTTGTTGCAATCTTTTAATGCCCATTTTTGTATTGTTTTACAGTATCCAATTAAATATTTTCTGTTACTAAACATATTTGATGTCTTTTGCGTATCCTGCTAGATTTATAATGACGCCATGAAGTATTCGTAGATTCATCCTGGGAAGGCCTAGCTGAAACACTCAATCAAGGTTGTGGCAAAAAAGCCAAAGTGAGACAACAAACAGTAAGTTTAGAAACGGACATGATATGTAACTCTTCTTAAATGGGCCATTAGTTTGTTTTCAGTGGTTACATTGTTGTTTTGTAGTTTTTGCAGAGGTCAACAGAGACAAACGTGAAGTGAAGGACAGAAATGGTGGAGCTCAATGTAAGATGAGGAAGATGTTGTTGATGTGGGTTCACACAGGAGCTACAGTGAGGACTGGGATACATCTAATGTGTTATTTAATGCCTTTGTTTGAAATCTTTAATTCAAAGTATTTTTAAATGTTGTTTTCTGTTGAAATTGTTGTTTTCCCGACTGTTTTATGTTTTAGATATTATTTACTATTTTTCCCTATTAAAAGACAAACAATCAATTATTGGTTAAACTATATATTTTTCTATCTGCCCACCTGGCCTGCAACCAATTCAAATCACTCACCTGTAAGGATTTTGGGAGGGATATACTTTAAATGTAACCAATAAAGTCACTTTGCTGCAAGGGCTTTGGGCGGGATAAATTTCAAGTGTACCAATGAACTAACTTTTGATTTAAGTCTGTTTGCTCAGTGGCCCAAGCTGTCTGGTTAGGGGGTATACAGGTATATACTGGTCCGTATACACCTCTTTTCATGCAGTGATTTGTGATTCATACTACACTGGTTACAGTGTATAATCAAAGACAAAACAATAGAAAGACGTGTTCTGTTGTCTGTTTTATGTTGTGCTATCCTGTCGGTTTCAACTCATCAAATTCAATTCAGTCTGAAAACTGTCAACTCGGCTGAAATATTATTTATTTGGGAATTGCAGCGCTGTTACTGAATAGCGGGGCAGGATACACTGGTGGAAGAACTTCAAGTGCAGTTGGTTCTGCAAGACTGAAAACTGTGTAGTGAAAGCTTATAGATCAGCAGCTAAGAGTCTACAATGTGAGTCCACAAATCACCATTATGACAGTGGCGAGGAATAATGAGCCACATTAATGAGTGTGAGTGCCTACATATGCAAAAGAGAAATTATGAAGACAGGTGCGAGAAAAGCATGCATAGCCTGTAAATGAGTAAAAGGCCAAAGAGAGACTTACAAAGAGAGACTAATAATAGGGGACCTTTTTGACAGTTATAGCGCCACCTATGGTCCGATCTCCATGAAACTCTGCATGCTTCTTCACCATGTTAGGACACATGTGCTCATCAATTTTTGTGAAGTTCTGAGTTTTTATTTATGATTTATAGGCTTTTGAGTGTATTTTGACACGCCCCCTTTTCTAAATGACCCTGTTACAGTGAACCAAAGGGCAAAGTTCAACTTTTTTTTGATAATTATTGATCTAGAGAGTCCATAGAATTGTCCTAGACTGGTCTGGTTCCGATCAGGCAAAAAACCAGGGACTAGTTCGCAAAAGTAGGTTTTGGACAAAATTGGCCAAAACACGAGACTTAAATTGCTATTAGGCAGTAGGTGGTCACCCAGTGTCTGCAAATTTAAAACGTTTCGGACAAAAAAGTGAATACATACATGCATGGACTGATCATGTGGAAAAAAAAGCACTTCGAACAAGTCAGGAAAGGAAGCTTGAAACATGGAGAAAAAGCAATGCACATTTGAAATTATCCAGGTGTAGTAAGTTGGCTGATGGTGAAATCTTGCTGGGAAAGACTAGGACTAGGTCAAAAACTATTACAAATCATTTTCAGTAACTGAAATAAAGCTGAAATATAATAAACTATAAATGTGACCTGTGCTGGCAAAATGAGTTGCAATGAGCACATTTTCAAAAATTTGTTATTGTTATTTTCTCTATTAAAGCTGCTGTAGGTAACTTGTAAAAATTTTTTTTTTTTACATATTTGTTAAAACTGTCATTATGTCCTGACAGTAGAATATGAGACAGATAATCTGTGAAAAAAATCAAGCTCCTCCGGCTCCTCCCAATGGTACTATTGCCATTTGCAGAAATACACCGCTCCCGGTCAGAAACAACCAATCAGAGCTAGGAGG